AATAAAAGCAAATTGTGTCAGACCCTTTCACTTTGTTTTTGATTCGGAACTACAAAATGGATTACTGAAGAAACCTTCAGAGTTCACACGGCTCGAATAGCACTGAATTTAAAATGAGAATTAAACAAGTTAAACAGGGGAGCCGTGTCAACGGTGTACATTTTCCATCATGGGAGAAGGGCTGAATTGCTGATGTCTTTGTATTATTTGGCTTCAGAGAGACAATGAAGCCACAGGAGTTTTTCCAAGCTGTTCCGAACACTGTCCCATTCGCTATCCTTCCTTCCTTGCTTTTCTTATAGTCCTCTCCCAGCCTCATTCTAATTCCTCCCCTTAAAAAAAAAAAAAAGGTGGAGGGAGGGGGGCCTTTCCCTGAAAGACCCAACTCCTAACTAGAAGCTTATCGTTCTATGTTCTATGGGTCCTGCATATTTTAATCAAAATATTTTAAACAGTCGAACACTCCTATTTAAGGCTCCGCTCCTCCACACAAAGGGTGAACTCATAAGCAAATCTATGTAGATGTATGATAAGTGACCTGAAAAACAGGCTCTTTATGTCAGCAGCAAATGAAGGCAGAGATTAGGCAGGCAGGATACCATTTTCATCATTACCTCTTAAAGAAGAGTGCTTCCTTTTCTGTCTCATTTGCAAGGGGAGAGTTAAAGAATAAAGTTTTCATCAAGTGCTAAGGAAATATCCCTCTTTAAGAATTTTTTTTTTCTTTTTTGGTGAGGGTCTACAGTATTTCCCTCCCCCCCCCCCCACTCCCATTCCTGTGACACGTCACTGCAGTCAGGATTTGGGGTCTCAGATCCTTTCCTCTCAGAAGAGCACGCTGGGAAATGCTGCTCTCAGGTAGATAGATGTACAAGATCAGCCTCCTGGGAGCTACCTGGAGCATTTCAGCGGAAGGCAAGGCAGCAAAGATTAAGTTGCTCCATTTGAAGGAAATTACGATGGTGAGCCACCAACTAAAGGATATATCTCAGTAACTTCACAGAGGAGAGGTTTTATGGGAATTAATTGAAACACTCCCATTATGATTCTTCAGCTGACTCCATGTGGAGAAGCCATACCTATCTGTAGTATTTTTTGTTGTTGTTGTTCATTTATTTTTATTTTTTATTTTTATTTTTACTTTTTAGCTGACCTGGGAAAGATGTCTTATTCACCTGTTCTCATCCTTCAGCCCGGGAGTCAGAAACATTTAGGGACTTGGAAGTCATTTGCATTTCTTTGCATTCGCTGGACAAGTGTCAACAGCTCTGCTTTGGGGAAGATTTAGAACCAAGTGCTTAACAAATCATCTTAACCCCCAGCTCCCATTTCGGAGGCTTGAAGCTGTAATTGCTGAGGTTAGAAAGTGCAGTCCCCAGACACACGATTCCCAAATAAATTCTCCCCTCATCTGAAAGAAGGCTACCAAGCATGTTGTGAGATAGCGCTTTAGCTCTGTCTTTGTGCTCTCTCTGGCTCAGTTGTCCGGCGTAAGGAGCCGACAGTCCATTACCTACAGTTTATCATCCTGACAAAACGTGAGGAATGTGGATGTGAAAGCACTCACAATTCCACCCCTGGCGCTTTGTGCTCTTTTTTCTCTCTATATTAAAACCGACAAGATTAACCCAAACGCAAACTGCGGAGCATAGTTCAAGGGGCTATTCAATCAGCGCTGAATGTGCATTTGTTTATCTACAAAAATAAGAATTTCAGGCACAATGGAGGGCAGGCTGGCTTATATATGGGATTGAATGGGCTGTTTAAACAGCACTATCCATTGTAGTTTATTTTATCAATCTCTGACAGGTCCGTATTTATTCGGAGCCTGACTGTGATGGAGCCCATGTATTATAGGTTATCTGGATATTATCCGGCCATTCTTTTCTATCAAGTCAATCAGTATCAGGAATTTAGTATTATGTAAGGAAAAAAATGGCATGGTAAAAGCAAAATGCTTTGTTAACTTACTAGTATGTGGTGCGTAGGATAGAGCACACCTAGACATGAGAAATTAATGCTCAACTGAAATTTTCAACAAAGTTGGTGTAATTCATTCTAGAATACCATACCAATACAGACTTGCTTCCTCTCAAGTGAAATCAATATTTTTAAAAAAAAGAAAAGAAAAGAAACAACTATTTTATTTTGGCAAGAACATCATGTTTGGGAAAAATTGCCCTACTGAAATGTTAACTAGAAATGAATGAAAAAGCCAGGTTTTGCTGCTATTCTCTCCCAAGGTTAACACACACAAACACACACACACACACACACACACACACACACTGCTTAAACAACCTAAATTCTACAGCTGATCCAACTCAAGCAGAGCACATGGATGCAATGTTAATAATCTTCAGGGCTAGTGTTTCAGTATGTAGAACTTCTTTCAATTACTGCGTACACTCTCAGGGATGGGAGCAGCAGACAGTGTGATGCAAGTAGTTATGGAGACAGTGAATTTACAAAGGGTTTTCTGGACTCTGTATCCAAACAGCTGCCGCATGCTCCCTGTGTCCACCACCTGCTAAAAAAGCTGACCCCTGAATGAAACAAACCTAATCCCTGATGGCTGCTTCTTGACAAATGAGTTGCTCCCCAGTTCAGATGAACTGATGTGAAACTTCAATGCACTTGATTACCTGCTTGCCACATCCCACTGACCCACCAACTTTTCTCTGGAAATAAATATGCAAAACTTCCCCAACTAAAATGAACCCGCACCATGAGGGTTTTATTCATTCCTCCAGGAAGAAATCTTTCTGATCTTTCATCCTAGCATTGAGCTACATACTTCAAGTAGACCTTTGCCAGTCCTCCAGGCAAGCCATTATCGCGAGAATGATAAAAGAAATTCTACTCTTGAGGACTTGGAGCAATCAAGCCAACAGCAACATCAGCAGTGCAAGAAGGCTGGCTTTTTTCTCTAAACTGCAGGCCTCCAGTAGGTCTCTAAATCCGGGACCACAGCTAGGAAAAGCAGACTATTGCTAATAATCACCAGAAATCATCAGGACGGTGAGTAAATACCAGTCACCCCCCCACCCCCGCACACATTAGGAAAAGAAATATTCATGTCTAAACCTTACATTGAAATAATTATTGCTCTACGTTTTTTTTTTCCAAGTAGGTATTTCTAATGCTCCTCCCAGATAGACACCAAGTAGTAGCTAATAATGCAAAGATATATAAAGAGCTGAACACTGGAGGAGTCAATGGGGATTTCTTTAAACTAGATTTAAGTACAAATATGAAATCCCAATAAGGGGGGAAGAATCAACCCCCAAAGATTGTACACCAGTGAAAGTGCAAAGTGGAGCGGGCAGGCAGCCTGGGGGAAGAGGAAAGGCTGGCGCCTCAAGCATTGCGCATGGAAGAGTGACCTCTGTAGGCACAAAGCGAGCACTGGCGGCCTCATCCGGGCTCCCCGCCCGCCTGGCCAGGGGACACCCGCGGCTGCGAGCTGGTCTGAGCACCGGCGCTTTCTGGCACCACCTGGTGCCTCACCCTTCTGTAAAGATGTTACTGCCACTCATTTCTCAGCAAATACGGCATCTTCCATTAAGGAACAACAGCCAAAAGACGCCCATGTTAAGATGAGGCTCAATGGAAGGAGGTTGCATGAAGTAACTTTTAAATGTGTGCAGTGCTGTGAAGGGCCAGCTAGCAGTCTAGCATGGTGCCTGGATTTGTTTGATCCGCTTTAGTGCTGTGACGTTTCTCGCCCTTGTCACTGGGGGATTCTGGGCTAGCATAGTATTGGTGAATGCGAAATGGACCACTTTTTAAGGAGTGGCTATCATTCTTTCATTAAGATGTGATTTCTAAATCAATCCCCTTCTCTTTACTCCTGAATCCATGGCCAACTCGCTCAACTTCAATGAGGCCATTGATTTTTGCTTCTGATCTCAAAAAGCTTACTGACTCCAGGAACCAGCCCATGTCTCCATAGTTTCCCCAAGTTTTCTCCAGGCTAAGATTCCACAATTCTGTACAATATTTTTTTGGCTGCGATTCATCCCAAGAATGAGGTAATATGCAATCCTGAGCGCCCAGAGGAGGAGTAACTGCGAGATAGTTAGTGATGGGTCGCCTTTAAATTCTAAATTCTAAATGTACTCACTCTGGTAGCTCCCACTGAAAGTTAATCTCCCGCGAGGCCTGGCTTTCTCCTGGCCGCGCTGTTGGATAAAAGCAAGTCGGGTCTAAGGATCCCATTCCAGCCTGGGCTTCAGCTAGGTCGCCTGGGCAGGGCCTGAATGAAGCTTTTGGGAAGAGCGTCCTTAAAAATCTAGCCAGCTACCGGACCACGCTGAGTTCCTGGCCCCTAGTCTAGAAAAGAAGAGAGCGGCCTTCGTGCAGGGATCTCCAGGAAAACCCCGAGGGCCCTCTCCGGGACGGGGAGCGGGGAGCTCGCCCCCGGAGTTCTCCCGCGGAGCCGGCGAGCTCCCCCTGCACTCAGGTCCGGGCGCTCCGGGCGGCCCGGGACCACAGGCTCCCCGCTCCGGGGTGCGCCCCGCGGCCAGGGGGCCCGCGATCGGGGCCCTCACCGGGCTCGGGCGCTCGTCGGGGGCGCAGCATCCATCCCCGCCTCTCTCCAGAGCTCAGCAGCCCCTGCGCGCCTGCCTGCCTGCCAGCCAGCCCGGTTGGTGGCCCCGTTCTCCATCCTCAGAAAAAGAAGGGGCCCAGGGGCCATCGGACACCTTTGCGGACGCGGCACGGAGCCGCCAGGAGCTTTTTAACACCCGGGAGCGCCGGGGAGGGGAGGAAGGCGGGGAGGGAGCATCTCAGCCCTGGCGCTCCGACTGGAAAGCCGAGCGAGTGCAATGTGCCATGGATGGGAGATGGGAATCGGGGGGCTCATGGCGGGGAGGGGGAAGACCGAGGTTCCAGAAATAGGCTCTGAGGCTCCGCGGCCCGACCTTTCTGTCGCACGGACCGCGCGGCACGACGCGGCAGAGCCAGGGCGGCGAGGGCGATCGCGGGATGCCACTTACTTGGAGTTCGAGGAATTCCAATAGATGGGCTCTAAAACTATCGATCTGGAGATCGCACTTCTGCATAAAACCATCAACACTCCCCAGCAGTACTTCCACACGGAGGAGTCCCTCCTCACGGCCATGGCCAAGCCGCTCCCAGCTCCTCCGCGCACTCGGGACGGCGGAGGTGCGGGGTGCGGGCCGGAAGCCCTGGTTCTCCAGAAGGCAGCAGCAAAGGGGAGCCGGCAGGCAGGTCTGGGGCGCGCCGAGCAGCTCCAGCGGTGGTCGCCGGCGCCAGGAGCGCTCCCCCTCGGGGCCCTCACGGCGAGAGGCTGGAGCGCACCCGCGGGGCGCGGCGGCGCGGCAGGCTCGGGGCTCCGGGGCGCCGCGCCGGACCCAGCTCGAACCGCCGGCTCCCGTGCGACTCCAGGGTGTCGGGCGCGGGACGGCGGGGCGGGGGGGGGCGCGCGGCCGGGACACAAAGGCGGAGAGACGTCTGACCGGGCGCGGGTGGCGGGTGCTGCGTCCCGAGCGAGTGGGGCTGCCGCCTCGCACTATAGATCCAGGAGGACGACGGGCAGCGGCCCGAGCGCGCGGGCGCCGCGACGACGCGATTCCATGTCCCGGAGCGCGGAGCGGCGAGAAACGTCTCCGGAGCGCGGGAGCCTCCCCACTCCTCGCGGCTCCCAGCCTGCGGAGCGAGCGAGCAGGAGGGGCTCGGTCCCAGGCGCGGGCGCCGGACGCGCGCGGGCCTTTGTGTGCGGGGAGGGCGCCGGGACCCGCTCTGCGCGCAGCGACTAGATCCGGACACAGCGCCGCGGTCCCCGCCGCCGAGGAGAGTCAGCGCGGCCGGCGCGCTGTCAGACACTATAAACGCGGGGCCCCGCCCCGCACGGCTAAGCCCATTGGTCCTCCGCACACAGCGCCTGTTGGTTGGGCCGCTGGCCCGTCAATCATCCGCCCCCCGTCCGGCATTGGGCCCCGCCAGGCGGGGCGTCGGCTGACAGGTGAGCCCCGCCCTCCGGCCCCGGCGGCGGCGGCGGCGCGGACTGAGCGCAGGGAAGTCGGCGGAGGAGAGGAGCCGGCCGGCTGGCCGCGCAGCGCCCGGGAGGCGCGGCGGGGACGCGGGCTGGGGCGGGTGAGCGGGAGGCGGGGATGCACGGAGTCACCTGTCCCAGGCACCAGGTCGCGGCTCCAGGGCCCGGCAAGTGTCCTAACTTTGAAAGATAGCCAGCGTAGAGGGCGAAACTTCGCCGACAGGGTCGAAGACAGAGCGTCTCCCCGTGCGTCTTCCTTCTTTAAATAAAAAGTGGGATCCCTCTGCAGGGTCTGACTCCCACCCCGCACGCGCATCCCTTCCTCTCCCCGGCCTCTCAGGGATGCGCTTCAGACCCGATGTTGGTACCAAACGTCAGCAGGGCCCCAACCTAAGTCAACGGGGCCTCGAGTTGCCAAATGATTCATTCCCAGGGACCCGGCGCCGGTGGGGCCGCGGACAGGGAGGGCGTGGACGTCCTGGCCCTGAATCCCCCGCGCCTTGCTTAGTTAGCATCGAAGGCAGCACTTCTTGGGGAAAAGTGTCGCCGGCCGCGGGACTTTGCCTTCATTAGCCTCCGGGACGCACGCCTCCCCAAGGTGGCTGGGAATTCAGGGGTGACGGTATCAAATAGCGCCCAAGTGGAGAGGTGGCAGGAATTCACTTGGGTTCTTGGCGAAGTGCTTTGCCAAAGAACCACTTGGACAAGCGCCACCCTGTCGACTGCTTCCACGGACCCACAGCGCCCACTAGCGGCCAGCTCGCCATCTCCGCGTGCGAGAGCACAATGGTCTGCCTACCCACCCAGACCCGGCACAGCGCCCCCCGCCCCCACTGCTCCGCTCCATCTAATCGCGCAGAGAAAGTCCAAAAGAGAACCTTTCTTAAATGACCGAGAGCAGAGGAACAAGGAAGAAATTAGGCACAGTACAAATGTACAGTTCAGTTGGGGGGGTGGGGGGGAGAGAAGAAGTATGCCGTATATGCACAACATGCTTTCAAAAACCCCAACCCCCGTTTCCTCCAGGATTTAATGTTTCAAATGCAAAGAACTGGGCAGTCTTCCTACAACTGTATTTCTTTACCCAACTTATCCGCTAAGCTAAATTTAAAACAGAAAATGTATGTTAGAAACATCGTGTTTACTGGTTTGCTTTCACCCTTGTTTTTAACATTTAAAGATTTGATGATGCATTAAGGATTCGTTTTGTGAGATTTAAGCCATAAATTAATGTATATTTTAACTGGGCATGTAAAAAAAATAGTAAAGGCTAGTTTAAGATGGAAAATGTTATTTAGGATACACGAGGTTGTGAAAACATATTATTCCAAGTTGACCTTTACTCGAGAAAATTTTATATTCCTCAATTGCTAGTTTTAAATAATCCTCCAACTCAAGGAAATAATTTTTAAAACTCAAAGGCGGTAAAAACCGATTCCAGGACATGGGTAGATTTCCAGGAGGGCTAAAAAACATAGGAAAAGTCAGGCAGTATTTATTTATAAACTCACAAGGGTAAAAATAAGTCGTTTTTAATAAGCTTAAAGCATTCAAAAATTTGTTTTTTACATTTCTTAAATATTTCTTAAAATGTTCTTAAATTTCTTAAAATTTTATTTAAAAGCTACTAGCTCAAAGATCTTTTAAAAGAATCAGAAGTATGTTAGTATGTTTTTATTTAGCAGACTTACACTGTGAAGTTTAAGTTGTGACCTCTTAGCTCCTACATCCTCTCTTCAAGTTAACCAGAGGAAACAAAGAGCTTTGCATTGTCTGAAAATAGCCATAGCTTCCAATTTTTAGTAAATCAGATATTCTCACATCCACAGCATTTTACCTTGAGAAAAATATAAATGTATAAACTCACTTCCTATTTTTATTTGACCAAAACTTAAAATCCTACACAAGATTCCTGTTGTGTAACTCTGGAGTGTGTGAACATTATCAACTTTCAGTAAATATGAATAATTAGCTATATATACTACGTGAAAAGCATCAGCAGAAGTAACTTCAACATGCTAATGTTTCACTGCTACTTAGATAGTAATTTCAGCAATTAAAAGCATCACCTCAAATCATATATCATACAAGGTAAAAAGAAAAAAAAAGTCCTATGTATAAAAGACAAAGCTGACTTTTTAAGTATGGGAACCCAAGAAGAACCAATCACATGAGTTATCTAATACTTCTCTGCATTTAAAGGACTTCATTTTACAATTAAATTGTTAGAGAAACATGATTATTTTTTGAAAATCTGTAATTTATCAGCATATTAACCCATCAAAAATAAATTTTATTTTAGCACAAAAAATTACTTGAAACTATTTCTAGAGTTAAGAAATTTCTTTAAAAAAAATTGGAATTTATTCAATTACAAAAATATCGATATAAATTTGAACGTCAAATGAGGTGGCAAATACTTAATGCAAGTTTAAAAAAAAAAAAGAGGGCAATCAATTTTGCCCAAGTAAATTCCCCTTACTATTATGTTTCGGCCCCTTTGAGTTCCCAAGCACGTGCTTATCTTTAGAACTTAAGTTTTTATATATTCCTTGCATGGTAACCTATCAATTCTAATAAGTACTTCAAAAGACATCTTTAACTTAACTTCTGTAAAAACAAAGAACAAAAACCTTATCTAAACTTAACATTACTGAAAAAATTACTGAAACTTTTTGTACGTGATTAAATGTTGTCCAAACCATGAACTTTCTATGTGGCTCCATATTTCTACTAAAACTGTACCTTTGTTTCCTGGCAATTTATTTCATACTAGTCACTTACGTTTTTAGAACTCCTCTGCAAATGCTCAATTTTACTGGAGAAAACTTCGAAACAAGTAAAAAATAAAACCCTTTCTTAGATCAACTTTGTCATACACTCCTGCCACATCAATAAAGCTCCTAAAATTCAAATCACACATTAAAGCTTCTTAAATTTACTTATGAGTTTGGTAGGAAAGTATTAATTATAGTGGGTTCTTGATCAAAAGAAAAATTTTCCCTTTTGGAAATTTAGTGACAAATCATACATTATAGGCAAAAATACCATTTTCCACTATTGCAGTCACCTAAATCTCTAGCTCAATTTAACGTTGCTTTTACATTAATGCAAAAAAAAAAAAAAAAAAAAAAGGCAGCACAAGAGGAAATAGTTATGGCTCCAACTATCTTGAGCACCTGGCATGAAAGAAACCACATTTCCTTATTTGCAAATGAAGAACGAGTTAAGAGGAAGCACGAAGCTGAAGTCACCATTCCAAATGGAATTGGTAGTTTGGTGAAGATACAGATAATAACTAGCTGTGCAGTTCTGATTTTGTCAGTTCTGATTTTGTTACTCAATTGTAATTTAAATTCTCTAAATAGCATTCCCACTTTATGGATTGATATGATATATATAGCCGATTATAAAGTTAAATTATGCTCTAAACATATAAGGAATATTACTGACAGCAGTCATTTGATAAAAGGTCTCCTAAAATGGGTTGATAAAATCATTTTTGCTCCCTCTTTAACCCACTTTATATTAAGACATTTAGAAAGAGCTGCAATTATATATTCCTTTCTTTGTTGTCATTTGATCCATAGTGAAAACCTTTACAGTGAAGGAAACAATCATTATCCAAGTGTATACAAAGTACAAATCCATTTTATTCTGTTAATAAAGTCCTGTTTAGTCATAACAGTAGAAAATATACTGATACTATTAAATACACAGGCTCACTCTTGCCTGAGTGGTAGTGAAATTGCTGCATCAGTAAAGTTGTAATTTTCAACTTAACGGCTTTCAGGCATAGAAAGACTAAAATATGTATTAAAAAAAAAAAAATAGAACCATTTGAACATCCTCTAATCCAGCGGTCATCCGTGAGGTCTGAATGGTTGGTGACCACTGCCCACTAAAAAACCAAGAAAAGAACAATCTTCAAGACTTCCAATTATGTTCAATCACACACACTATTTTGATAGGTCATCTGTATCCTGTTCCAGTGTTTCCCAGCTGCAAATCAGTTATTCTAGTAACTGCAGATACTAAATATATAAAATCAGGCAATGCAATCTAATAATCTGAAAATCAATGGCAATCTGCTACAAAATGTATAGTGCAGTATAATAGCTACTCCAAGATTATGGACTATTATTTCAGTTTGTCGGTTGTTTTTAAATGAGTGGACATGAATAACGAAGGTAACAGCAAAGGAATCAAGACCACCATTAATGGCAATTCAACAAATGAAGTTAGGTCATGCCGAAACCGGTTTGGCTCAGTGGATAGTCGGTCCGCGAACTAAAAGGTCCCAGGTTCAATTCCGGTCAAGGGCATGTACCCTGGTTGCAGGCACATCCCTAGTAGGGAGTGTGCTGGAGGCAGCTGATCTATGATTCTCTCTCATCAATGTTTCTAGCTCTGTGTCCCTCCCCTTTCCTCTCTGTAAAAAATCAATAAAATATATTTTTTTAAAAGTTAGGTTGTCTACTGCTTGGGCTTTCAACAAGCATTCCCAATTCCTAAGCTGAGGCCTTTATTTCTTCTACCTTCAGTAGTTCTCCCAGGTCCTTTCACTAATACCCTGATAATTAATAACACTCCGATGAGTGTTCATAGGAATACTGGAGGGCTCTAGCTGGTTTGGCTCAATGGTTGAGTGTTAGTCTGTGGACTGAAGGGTTCCAGGTTCCAGTCAAGGGCACACACATGCCTGGGTTGTGGGCTAGATTCCCAGTGTGGGGCCTGCAGGAGGCAGCCAATCAATGATTCTCTCTAATCATTGAATATTTCTCCCCCCCCCCCCCCACCTTCTGAAGTCACTAATACACACACACACACACACACACACACACACACACACACGAGTGACAGGTCTCAAAAATTAAGATAGCCCATCTTCAAAATTTCTCACGACCAATATAAAACAGACAAATGCTTCTGGGTATAAACATACAGAAAACAGAACTGAAAACAGAGAACCTCTTGTTAATAGTGAAGTTTTGGAGAAATTTTAAGTAACAAATGGAGGATCCTTAATATAAAATTAGCATTTCAAATGATGTATGGAGTTCAATTAGCCAAGATCCTATGCTATTTTAATTCATAAAATAAAAACGTACAAAACCACTGAAAATTCTTAAATTGCTGGTGGCCATGCAATATTAAACGGAAGACAGAAATGGCCTAAATGGTTACATCTTTATAAGGAAAACTGGAGCAGTAAATCTTTAAATATAAACCCTTTCCCCCCTTTACAAACATTAACCAGTCCTCATACCAAACTAATTTAAAGGTTTAGATTATAAAATGATTTAATTCTGCAAACTTCACAATATAAATGGCAATAACCATTTATTTAAAATACTGTAATAAAAATAGTCATGTTAATTCTATAATGGACTAAGAAATAACCTAAAAAAACAAAAATGGTAAATAAAAGCATATTTAATAAATTAGGGAACATCCAAATTACTAATAGACTGAGAATCTGAACTTTTTAATACATACACAAAGGCAGTGAAAACAAATGAAGAAAACAAATTACTACACATTGTTGCAGCACAGAAAAAATTGGGTGTATTTTATTAACAATTACATCCTCTTTCCTATAGCCTGGCACAGGAACAATTTCAATATCTGATGTGAGTCTCCAACAGCAAGTAGATACTGCAAAATGTTACTACCCACTTACTGTGATTTCACACCATATGTGGCAGTAAGATATTTTTTAAAAAATTAAAGGCACGTGTAAGCTAGTATCAAATATTTTAAGTTTTGGTTACTTAGATACAATGTTTAAAACACTTGACTTGCAAAACAATTTTTCAATAAACATTTCCCAAAACTTGAATACACAACTTAGGAGCAATGGATCTGTACAAAATAAAAATAAAAACAGAGTAAGAATCATGAAATTAGTTATATTTAGAAGTTGAAAAATAACTTGTAAGCAACCTATATACTTTAAATAAAGTGAATGTTTTAGAATAATAAGTATGTTTATTAAGTCAGTTCTCACTACATTCATGCCTATAATTCTATCTTTAAAGATGTGTAAACTGATTTTATTGTTCTGTACCACAATTAGGTTTATAGAGCTCAAACTAAAGCAACAGCATTTTTCTTAGCATGCACACACAAAGTAATCTACCACTTAGTCATTTCATTAACTTATGTTTTCACTTTTAAGGACTGATCAAAACTGTCTCAAAATCTTGGAGAACATTTCCTCTACTTTGATGACGTTTATGCATCTCAGGTAACATCTTTATATTCATATCCTTTTCTTTAATAAATGTTTTAATACCAGTACACTTAAAAAAACATATGTAAAGATAAATGAGGCAGATTCTGCTCTGTAAGTAATCCACATCACATGCAAAAACAAAATAAAAACAAAACAAATGTTTGTCCCCAAAATAAACGTGCAAGTACCCTAACAGTGAAGATGATTTGACTCCCTTAGCCTTTTGTGAAAGTATAAAGCTAAGTTCTTTCTGATGGCCCACTTTGAAAATAATCTAAGATTCTATAAATTTGAGAAGCATTTTTCTGTAGTTTTCATTAAGTATAATTTACTGAGATGATATTTATATCCTAAAATAGAGGTACAGGATTGAGAATTTCAATCTTTTTCTGAGTGCTTAGTACTTCTTAAAGGTAATACTGATGTCATAATTGCTGTATCAGCATAAATATTTGTAAAAATAGCCATTAAATACTAATCCATGAGTATATTTAATATACATATAAATCCTATGTTAAAAGTATGAAAGGAAATATAGCGTAGTTCTAGGATTTCTAAATTGCTGACCATCAAAAAGTAAACCACCCTCTTTAAGACTTAACAGAACTCAATTTTAAAAAAAATTGCTTCAACATATGAATTTAAGACGCCTTTATTCAGCAAAATCATTTATTTACACAATGGGGAATGCTGGTTTGATTTTTGTCAGTGAAATAAAAACAACCTGAACAGAGACAATACTGAACTGTATATGTTTTGTGTTAGAGCTGACCAACTGTTTCCTTACCTGTATCAGGAACATCAAGAGCAACAGTATCATGAGGACACTGATTTAACAATACACCATATAGGTCCAACAACACCCGGGAGCTTCCAATGCAATTACCAACTTTTTCTTTTTTTATAAATATATAAAAAAACAAAAAGTCAGCAAAACCAGCATTATGATATAGTAAACAGAGTATAACTCTGAAGTCTGTGAGTCAGTAAAATCCTTATCAGACCATCCACAATTTATAAAGTGATCTGTTCTTCTTCAGATCACTAACACAGAATCCAAACAGGTGAAAAATATATCACTTTTTAGAAGACAACAATGATCTGATAAGGATTTCACTTAATAGAAGTTAAGGGGGAAGAAAAGGAACTGCAGAGCATAGCCCCTATTAGAACAAGCTAACTTTCCAGATTTTCCAAATTAAAAAAACAAAAACAAAATGAAACAAAACAAAACAAAACAAAAAAAAACACTTCAACATGAAGCTACAATACAAAGTTTTTCCATTTTCTTTGTAAAAAGTTCAGAGTTTGCAATTTAATCCTGGGTTTTTAAGGAGAAGGACAGTTTAGGCCTGGACTTCCCCTTGCCCAGGATAATTTTTTGTTCTTCTTTTTGTTGACGTTGTCGTTCTTGTTCTAATTTCATCCTTTCCTCATGAATCTTTCTTTGTTCTTCAACAATTCTCAACTGTTCTTCAGCCTGAAAGTTAGAAGTAAAAAGTAGAAAATTCTGTCAATTTCATGGCTTTCATTCATCATGTTTGGGAACTTAGGTGAGAATTTATAATCAATAGAAGCAAACAACAGTATGTTTAATAAAACTTGACCTAACATCACACAAACAGTGAGAAGAAAAATATTGATAATTATAAGAGATTTATACATTTTGAAAATGAAAATTTCTACAAGCCATGCTTGAGGTCAGTATACTTTTAGTCCTGTTACCTATTTTTATGGATACCTTCCGTACCATTAGATTAACAGATTGTGAATTACACACCAAGGTATGGATTTACTCAGAATATTTTACCTAACAACTATGATAGCTAAATACATAATTTTGTAAGCCATACAAAAAATTATAGGATAAATCCTCACTGCACTACATTACACTGTCAATATCAACCAATAAATAGTAAAGGCCTCTTTTTTTGGAGAGAGAAAAGTTAAAACTTTTTTGACCTGGCTGACTATAAAATGCTATTTCAAATGATACTTGTATAATTAATTCCTGCAGTGGGTTCAACTCCTTCAGTCTCAAGCAACCAACTTCCTTTAAGCATTCACTATAGCTTTCCCCTCTTTATCAAGAAAATATAGGCCATTCACACAATCTTCTTCCTCAGCAAGCCTCTCCTTGCGCCCCAAAGTACCATGCCTTCTTCTGTATTTACAACCAGATACAACTTTACTCCTCTCTCAGAGGGTATCAGGCAAATGTGTGGTGGTGATTTTGGTTGTTACAATGGGGAAAATGGCTCCTGGCATCTAGCAGATAGAGGGCAGGCATGCTGCTAGATATCCTACAGTAATGCATGGGACAGCCCTCCACAACAAAGAATTATCTAACCCTTGGGTTTTTAATCTCAATGATCAATGAGTTGTCCTTTTTTCTGTATCTGACCTTGACCTTAAAACTTTCACTGCATCCTTTGAATGCCTACCTATTCGCAAACTCAAATATTAAAACGTCATTACGCATCTCCATTAATTCTACTGAAATTATTTTTCACATGGTCAAAAACTAACAATAAGTTTAGTGCCCTTTCTCTTCAGTCATTATCCTGCCCTTGAACTTCAGTCTCCTGTTTATCTCCACTGATAGGTAATGGACTCAGAAAAATGCAAGATAAAAATGTTGAAATTTATCTTGTGGATAAGAAAAAGCCCATTTTTTAAATACATAATTAACACAAAGAGGTTTATTTTACTTTTGCTTTCAGATGGGGGGGGGTGGTGGTGACAGGCTAAAAGGTAGATCAAATAAGGTCAGAGATGAGAAAGATCAGAATTATAATAGTGGAAATCTAGTGGGTAGGCAAGATTTTGGAAAAGTAGATTTTCATGTATCTCTAGGTCTTCATAGTCTCATGAGGTGAAAAAACCCAACACAGAACTGAAATATATCTTCTCTCTCTCAGATCTTTTTCCAAAGCTACATTTTGAACTGGCCAATGAACAAACATCTGGGAAAACTCTAGGTACCTTCAAATTTCAGTATGTTCAAGATTTAAATTCCAGTAGCCTAATCCTAAAATACACCAGCCCTTTCTACGTTCCCTTTTGCCATCCACATACTATAGCTTTCTGATCCTTCTTTCCCTGACAACATCAAATAGTCATCAAGGTATGTCTCTTGCCGAAACCGGTTTGGCTCAATGGATAGAGCGTCAGCTTGGGGACTGAAAGGTCCTGGGTTCGATTCCGGTCAAGGGCATGTACCTTGGTTGCGGGCACATCCCCAGTAGGGGGTGTGTAAGAGGCAGCTCATCAATGACTCTCTCTCATCCATGTTTCTAGCTCTCTATCTCTCTCCCTTCCTCTCTGTATAAAATCAATAAAATATATATATTAAAAAAAAAAAAAAAGGTATGTCTCTTACCTAAAAGGTTTTTTTCCCCCACTTACAATTGTTAGCATAACTGTTCAGGGCAGAGCTCTTACAAACTTAAAATGGTTTCTGTTTCCAGTCCCTGCCCTTTGATCTACCCTACACATCACTGCAAGTTTCACCCTTTTTAAGCATTGCTCTTTTCTGCACTCAAACTTCCAATGATTTTCAGTGTGCACAGAATATGGCTAATTTCCTAAATTAGCATACTACCTAGGACTTCCTTTTATATGGCCCCAACTGTTTCTACTATTCTCTTTTAAATTGTCCTTTTTATCTTGCTACCCCTCCTCCTCCTTTGCTCATGCCACTTTTCCTCCTATTGAAATCCAGTCTGTATGCCAAAATTCACTTCAAATCACCTCTCTTGCTTAGACTTTCACTGGTAATCAAAATAAAAAATTATCTGCTCCTGACCATCTTCAGTGAAATCACATGCCAATTACTTTACCCACAGTTTTAATAAATCATCACACATTTGGGGATAAGAGCTGGCATGTGCAACTGAATCGAAGTAAAAATTCTTAGTGTGTGCACATACCCTTGGGAAGAAACCCTCACCAATACCCAGACTCACTTTTCCCTAAGGTTCTAATTCAGCCCCTAGGAAAGTAGAATAGAACCTTGGGGAGTGAAGGGAACATCACAACCTCAAGACATAAGAGAAATCTATTTACAAATATCATTTTTTACCCTATCATATTGATAGGAATTCAAAAGTATATTAAATGCTAGCTTATGAAGAGTATATTGGCAGTAATCCACTAAAATTGCATCTTCATAGTACTTTTTACCCAGCTACGTAATTTCCTGAAATTTATTCTAAGTGAACTGCACACATGCAAAATTATACAAAGTTATTTATTACAAACATAGCTTGTGAAAGACTGAAAAACTCAGTATTCACCAATATGGAACTATCAATAAATTACAGATCTATAAAACAAAACATTGTAAAGCTGTGTTTTTTTGTGTGTGTTTTTTTAAAGGAGTCCCATATATACTAAAATAGAAAAAAAATCTCCAAGTTATATTAGGAAGTGAGAAAAGCAAAGTACCAAATACTATGTACCATATGTTACTTCTGTGAAAAAAAAGGGGAAAATAAAAATGTATGTATTTGTATCTGCCTAAAAATGCATTATAAACTCTGGAAAAACAAATAAAAAAATAATTGAAAATAACTTTTGGAAATGGGAATGAAAAGTGGGTGGACAGGGGGAAAAGGTAGAAGATTTCACTGCTTATTTTTCTATAACAAATTTTTGAATCATGCAATCATATTACCTAATCAAAAAATTAAAACAAGATTTTAAAAGTAAAATAATTTCTTTTATAGACAAATACTAATTCTACTGCACTGAAATTACTTTTAAATTGGATTAAAAAAAAGTTGCAGTTTCACAAATACCAGTGGCCAAATTATTATGATCTCTGAACATATAATAATTTGGCCACTGAGTGTATTAGAAGCCTGGTGCATGAATTTATACATGGGTGGGGTCCGGCCAGCCTGGCCAGGGAGAGGGGACAGGAACAGTTGGCCAGCCTGCTTGCTGGTTGAACTCCTGGTCGAAGGGACAATTGGCATATTGGCCTTTTATTATATAGGATAGGATATATACTGAGTGGCAAGATTATTAGGCATTCAGAGATCATAATACTTTGGCCACTCAAGTGTATAAGAGATAAAAGTATGTATGTGTGTACAGCAGCTGTAATACCACAGGAAACAGTGGTACCCTAGTGTCTTATAAGTACTTGATAATGGAATAATTTTTATATATAAACTAGAGGCCCGGTGCATGAAAATTCATGCACTGGAGGAAGGTATGGGGGTCTCTCAGCCTGGCCTACCCCCTCTCACAGTCCAGGAGCTCTCAGGGGCGGGAGGTGACCTGGCAATCAGGAAGGCAATGCCCCCATCACACCTCTGCTGCTGCCACTGATGACAGCACAAACCTAAGCCGGCTCTGGTTACCTGGGCCTCGGGCAGCCCTGGGTGGCTAAGCAGCCGCCATCTGAGGCTCTCCTGCACCTCAGGCCAGCCCTGGGAGGCTGGGGGACTGAAGGGACTAGGCGCCACTATTTGTGGCTGTGGGCACCGCAATCACTGAGGGTGTGACAATCAATTAGCATATTCCCTCCTTTTTGGCTATGGGTGCCATCATCTTTTGTGAGAGCGTGATGGTCAATTAGCATATTCCCTCCTTATTAAATAGGATAAAACAGGTGACTCTCCTGTCTTTACATTAAATATTTGTTATTTTGTTCTATTATTCCTTTAAATTAAGCTCAAACGTTACTCAATCACATCTTGGCAAAAACAAACAACAAGAAAAAAAGAAAAAGGAGACTTGTCTAGTAAAAACCAAAGCCATCTCATCTTAATACAGTGGCCCTCAAGTGATGAAAAACTGGTTTCCAGCCCATCCATCTATATGGTCCAACACGATTATCTTATTTGTTTGGTACTCTTCTAAACACTACCTTCTCTCTGCAGTAACTGTCTGACTAGCTGTATTGTTCCTTGATGACTCCATTTGCTAGAGAATATACATTGTTCCTTCCCCTCTTGTTTCAAATCCATGCAAAAGGCATTATTCTCAATGGGGGAGGGAGGAAGGTATGTGCATATGTTTAAGTACGAACAATATTAAGTTCTCCTATAAGAATTATGTGGTAGGCCAAAGAGAAAGCTAGCACCATAATACTAGAGTCATTATACCCAGGGCCCTCTTATGTCTCACAAAGACGGCTTTCAATCCTACACCTCACTCCAAAAAATGACGAGATGAAATACACAAAAGCAAAACATACCATTATAGAAGGGCCTATTTATCCCTCTCAGTATCTTTTGTCCTTCTGTCCCAACTTCCTTTACCTAAAGGTCTTACTGCTATCTAAAAAATTATAAGCGTTCTTCTTACATTTACTAGTTTTAGGTCACGGTAGTCCTTTGCAGAAGTCTCTAACAAATAAGAATACTGAAATTTACTGGTCTCTACCTGAAACATGTATTAAATTTTAAAAATACAGATAAAAACATTTTATATAAGTTATAGAATTGATGGGGAAAATATTATAAT